CAATTACTCAATATGAATATACTCTCCCTCTTCCCCTGATGGCGTCCGGGTGATAGCCGCGCACCCTCCGCGTACTGTTTTTTACACACAGGATGCCCGGGAAATCCCGGGAAACGACTCTCGCTGAGGCGCCGGCGTCATTTTTTCCGAAAATGCTGCTCTCGCGCCGGCGTCATTTTTTCCCAAAATGCTGCTCTCGTTGAGGCGCCGGCCTCATTTCTGCTCCCGAATCCTTCCCCTGATGGCGTCCGGGTGATAGCCGCGCACCCTCCGCGTACTGTTTTTTCACACAGGATGCCCGGGAAATCTCAGGAAACGACTCTCGCTGAGGCGCCGGCGTCATTTTTTCCCAAAATGCTGCTCTCGTTGAGGCGCCGGCCTCATTTCTGCTCCCGAATCGTTCCGAATCGTGCTCCCGCTGCAGCGTGGGCCTCAGTTTCGGATCGGTGCTTGGCCTCCGTCGTTCAGGATGGCGTTCTCGCCCCAGCGCGGGCCTTTTTCTCGCGCGCCCATCCGCCCGCCACCACCGCGCCGCACCGCCACCACCACCACCACCACCACCACCACCACCACCACCACCACCACAACCAGCACCAGCACCAGCACCAGTACCAACACACCACCACCAGCACCAGCACCAGCACCAACACCACACCACCAGCACCACACCCCCACACACCAGCACCACACCATACCATCACCAACACCACACCACCACCATCACCCACCACCCACCACCAACCACCACCACCACACCACAACCAACACCAGCACCAGCCCCATAACAAACCCACCACCACCAGCAACCACCAGCACCACCAGCACCCCGCACCAGCATCACCACCACCACCACCACCACCACCACCACCACCACCACCACCACCACCACCACCACCACCACCACCACCACCACCACCACCACCACCACGCACACACGCACGCACGCACGCACGCACATGCACCACCACCCACTACGCACGCGCGCGCGGAGCCACAGGTCCGCTACGACACGCGTCCGCGGATAGAGAAAATCAGCGCCATGGTAAGGGATGGGAGGGAGGGGTAGGACGTCAGATATGACGCGAGCGCACCTAGCTTGTCCTCCTCCCCCTCCACTCCCCCTCCCCCTCCTCCTCCTCCTCCTCCTTCCCCCCTCTCTCGTCCTCCTCCTCCTCCTCCTCCTCCTCCTCCTCCTTCCTCCTCCTCCTCCTCCTCCTCCTCCTTCCTCCTCCTTCACTCCTCCCTCCTCACCCTCCTCACCTCCTCACCCTCCTCACCCTCCTCAACCTCCGCCTTCCTCCTCCTCCTCCTCCTCCTCCTCCTCCTCCTCCTCCTCCGCCTCCTCCTCCTCCTCCTCCTCCTCTCTCCTCCGCCTCCTCCTCCTCCGCCTCCTCCTCCTCCTTCATCACCCTCCCTCCTCACCCTCCCTCCTGCCTCCTCGAGGTAAGGCTCACAAACTATTCAGCAGGACGACGAGTTCGCTCGCACGGAGTGTCCAGGATCGGCAGAGCAGGCCTGAAGCCTCTACAACAGGAAAAGAAAAACGGCACAAGCATGAGCTGTCGCAGGTCCGCGCGGATTTCTTGGATCGGCGCTCCCCCTCCTTGGCGCGCGAAGCGCGCCATGGGCTGCGCTGGAGGCGGCGATAGGGCGGTCCACCGCCGGCCCAAGACATCAACGCGGACATCAACGCGGACATCAATGCGTGTCCTTGTTTTAGAGACCTCGGCGGGGGGGGACGGGAGGGGGTCGCGGGCGCAGCCGCCCCCAGACACCACTACCCAAGTCGCCCCTCTTCGCGCTCCGCGCTCCGCGATGAGCGAGGCAAGATCACCTCGCGCTCCTGCGCCCGCCGCCTCCCCCCCCTGGAGAAGGGGCGCCTCACCTGCCCAGGCCGCGATGCGCACAGCGCGGATGGCCCAGAAGCCCCACCCGGAAGCAGGCGCGCTCCTGCGTGATCTCGGAGTCCCACTGCTCCTGCAGGGACGAGATGCACAAGTTCCGCTGGGCTGGCGGCAGCTGCAGAAAGGCCCGGCAGATCATGGCGATCTCCTTCATGACCTCAGAGGCACACGCCCGACCTGTGCCAATCCGTCACGGCCTGCTCCTGACCATCCCCGAGCGCGGCGCACCCTGCTGATCGAAGGCCCCGACCCAATCGACCGATGGACCAGGGCCGTCTGAGCCCACGGCGCCGTCGAGCGGGCTGTACCAGGCCGTATCGCCCGTCTGCGCGTTCAGGAACACGACCCTGTCCTGGGGCTCCAGCCATGAGCCTGCACCGATCCTGGCCAGGCCCCTCCTGAGCCCTGGGCAGGTAGGTGTACACGCCCTCCTGGCTTGGCCCCAGGATGGGCCTGCACCGATCCTGGGCCCAGGATGGGCCCAGACGGCACCGGTGCAGGCGCATGGTCGGCGCCGCCCGATGGTCCTGACTGTCGCGGCACGGGAGCCAGGGAGCGGGCAGCGGCGTGCTGCAGAAAACGTCGACGAACAGCTGGATGAGGCCGTCCTCCCCCGCCAGGTAAGGTCGCATGAGGCCCTGCACGTACCGCTCCTTCTCCTCGCCCGACCACTGCCCCGCGGTGAGCTCCTCGAGGGTCCCAGGCCAGGCCGCCGCGAGGGAACGGCGGTCTTGCAGGGAGAGAGGCCACAAATGCCACAGACGCATGGAGGGAGCAGAGGGCTGCGGGAGCCGCGCAGGAGCTCCCCCCGCCCTGGTCACTCTCTTTGATCCTGGGATGGTGGGGGGGAAGAGGAGGGGGCTCGAAGCATGCATCCTCCAGACCATGCTGGCACCGACTGGGCTCTCGTGCAGCCCCGGGGGTCCTGGCTCTTCATCCCGCGCCGTTTCTGACGGCGCTGGGGCTGGGAGACGGCCCCGAGAGGCTGAAAATGGTGCAGGGCCCGCCGTCGCTTTTGTTGTTTCGTTTAGCGATACCCAGATCCGGTTCCTCTCCCGGGGACTGGCTCTTCCCCCTGAGCAATTTTTTTTGACGGCCCCGGGGCCCTTGGGGCCCTGGAGAGGCCTCCACGCGCAGAGTTCGGCGAAAAAACAGCCGTCGCGATGCTACTACTTTGCAGCGCCAACTCCGAGTCCCGCGAAGTCTCAATTTGTTCCACGCCGCGCCGCAAGAAGTCTGGAGACCGGCTCTTCATCCTGACGGCCCTGGGGCCCAGAAGCGGCCTCCAGACGTGAACATGACGGAAAACGTCTGTGCTGTTTTACAGGACGTTGGAGATCGGGTTCAGCGATCCACACAACATCGAACATCATGCCTCGGACCTCTCATATTCCACCAACTCTCCGGGCGAAGGTGGTGGTATAACGAATTGTTTCTTCCCCTCTGCCAAAACCGTCCTTCCCTTGCTCGGGCAAGGGCTTACCCCTTCCGCTGCCCCCTCCTGGGCCTGGACGGGGGGGGGGCAGGTGGCAGAGAACCCTTTTTTAGCCCAAGATGGTGGCTCCGGAAGCGCCCCAGACGCTGCGAAACTGCCTCCAACATGGCTCAAGATAATTACCTCAAGCTGGCTCAACATGACTACCGACATCTCCAAGTGGCTCCAAGACTGCTCCAAGATGGTTCCAGGTGCTCTCCGAGCCTACTGGGGCACCCTCCATGAAGCCAAAATCCTTCAAACGCCTTGGGAAAACACATGTGTTGTGGCTTCTCGACTTTTGGTTTCCGATGGGCTTCTGAAACCTCACGCTGGCCCCAAGAGTGCCCAAGAGAGCCCCAAGAGGGGCCCCAGAACGGCCTCAAGAGCGCCCAGGAACACCCCAAAGAGGGCCCCGTAGGGACACCTTTTCGGTCTCCGAGGGGGGGGGGAGGGGATTGGGGGGGGGCCACGAGGCCTCCCAGGCGCCCCCAAAAAGCCCCTAAAAGGGCTCCAAGACCCCACAAAAGAGTCCCAAGAGTGCCTCAAGAGCGCCGCAAGAGGCCCCAGGGGGACCCCACGAGGGACCCATGATGGCCCCAAGAATCCGCTAAGAACCTCTTCCGTGGGCATGTTTTGGTTTGTCATATTATTCTTCCTCGCCTCCTCCTCCTCCTCCTCCTCCTCCTCCCGTTTTCTGTTCCTCCTTCCTGCTCCGATTGTCAAAGATAGCGACCTCTCCACCCAGAGAAGGTCCCAAAATAACTCCAAGGGTCCCCCCAGAAGAAACCAATGAGGCCGCCGTGACATGGGAACATGGGTTATATCAGTATGCATGTTCCCGCCGTTCCTGCGCCCCCGACTCGTGCCCAAGGCAGCTATTCCACGACATGCTCCTACACTTCCCTGATCAAAACAACTCGCCTGGCGATCCTTTCTGGATGGGCAGGTGGGAATGCGTTAAGCGTCAAGAATCGCAGACACTCGTAAAAACAAGCGCTAAGCAAATATACACGTGTGATGTGGCCGATTCCGGAAGCCACGAACCCAAACATGTTGACGTCTTCCGCCAATTTCCGTCAGCGAAGCCATCGCAGCTTCACGTCTGCCCGCCTTTCGCCGAGCGCGATATGAGGATCTCCGCGCCGAATAATTTCGATCGGGTGGGCGCTCTCGAGGGGGCAAACAACAGAGAGCGATCGAGAGCTGCAGGAAAGTTGACCTAAAAGGCCTCTAAACTGCCAGCGCGCGTGCAACATGTGCTGAAAAAAAGCGCGTCTTGTGTCATCTTCTGTTTCTCCTCCACCGCGCCCCCTGGCACGCTGAGGCGCGTTAGGATGCAAAGGCATCCGAATTCAAACGAGGGACCTCCGATTGTTTCGGACTGGTGCGTGCATCGCCCCTACTCCCGAGGCCACGACCCAACGTAAAATTACCCTGGCGACGTACCCAACCCCTGCGCAATGCAGGGCATGAATAATTTGGGAGACGTTATACGGAGGTGATGACGTGACATGGGCGCATATACTTCTGCAAACGGCATTCGTGAGTCTCGCAGCCCATCAGGGATTGCGATGTCCCGCTCAGATCTGCCTGGTGCCTCGCTCCGCTGGACCCACCAGCAGCCCTCGAAAGTGGCGACAATTTCGCAGATCGCAGCCCCCCAGGGACGGCGAGGTCCCGCTCAGATCCGCGTGGTGCCTCACTCCGCAGGACCCACCAGCAGCCCTCGAAAGTGGCGACCGTTTCGCAGGTCGCAACCCCCCAGGGACGGCGAGGTCCCGCTCAGGCCCGCGCGGTGCCTCATTCTGCAGGAGCCACCAGCAGCCCTCGAAAGTGGCGACATGTCGCAGATCGCAACCCCCCCCCCACACAAGGACGGCGAGGTCCCGCTCAGGTCCGCACGGTGCCTCACTCCGCAGGACCCACCAGCAGCCCTCGAAAGTGGCGACGGCTTCGCAAATCGCAGCCCCCCAGGGACGGCGAAGTCCCGCTCAGGTCCGCGCGGTGCCTCATTCCGCTGGACCCACCAGCAGCCCTCGAAAGTGGTGAGTACCCTCTCTGCTGGCCTCCCCAGCAGCCCTCGAAAGTGGCGACGGTTTCGCAGATCGCAGCCCCCCAGGGAGGGAGAGGTCTCGCTCAAATCTGCGCGGTGCCTCAACCCACACGGCGAGAGGAGACAAGAGGGAGGCGGGAGGCGGGAGGAGAAGGACTCGACCACACCCCTCTATTCAAAACGAATACCCAACCAAGGAGGGTTGGGAAAAAGGGGCCCGCGCTCCCGAGGCCAGTGGCTGTTCCATGTTCCTGAAAAGGTAGCGCATGTTACGTGGGGGGGAAGGGGGGGGGTGATGGTAACGGCGGCCGCCGCGGCGAATACCAGTACTAATATCAGCACTAGGGGTGACCGGCTCCTGGGTGCCAGCCGCTCCCCCGGCCCCTCCCTACAGCACTCCGTTGGGTTTCTGCACCGTCAGTGTGTTTGTGCGTGTGCGGTGTGCGGTGTGCGGTGTGCGGTGTGTTTCGTATGCGTCTCCTATACGTTTTGTATACGTTTCCTATATGTTTCCTATACGTTTGGTATACGTGTCCTATATGTTGCCTATACGCTTTGTATATGTTGCCTATACGTTTTGTATACGTTCCCCATACGTTTTTGTATACGTGTCCTATATGTTTCCTATATGTTTGTTTCCTATACTTGTTTATACGTTTCCTACATGTTTCCTAAACGGGTTGTATACGTTTCCCACATGCTTCCGATACGTTTTGTATACGTTTCCCATATGTTTCCTATATGTGTCCTATACGTTTTGTATACGTGTCCTAACTGTTTCCTATATGTTTCCTATACGGTCCGAATACGTTTCCTAAATGTTCCCGGTACGTTTCGTATACGTTTCCTATATGTTTCCAATACGTGTTGTATACGCTTCCTATACGTGTCCTACATGTTTCCCATATGTTGTCCTATAGGTTTCCTGTATGTGTCCGATATGTTTCCTATATGTGTCCTATACGTTTCCTACATGTTTCCTATCTGTTTCCTATATGTGTCCTATACGTTTCCTATACGTGTCCTGTGTTTCCTATATGTGTCCTATATGTTTCCTATACGTTTCCGATATGTTTCCTATATGTTTCCTAAACGTTGCCTATATGTTGTCCTGTGTGTTTCCTATACGTTTCTTATCTGTTTCCTGTACGTTTCTAATATGCTTCCCATACGTTTCCTATATGTTTTCGATATGTTTCTTATATGTGTCCTATACGTTTCTTATATGTTCCCCATACGTTTCTAATATGTTCCCTATTCGTGTCTTATATGTTTCCTATCTGTTTCCCATATGTTTCCTATCTGTTTCCCATATGTTTGCTATATGGTTCCCAAATGTTTCCTATATGTTCCCTATGTGTGTCCTATACGTGTCCTATATGTGTCCTATATGTTTCCTATATGTTTCCTCCATGTTTCCTAGATGTTTCCAATGTGTGTCCTATATGTTTCCGATGTGTTTCCTTTACGTTTCTTATGTGTTTTCCTATACGTTTCCTATATATGGCCTATATGTTCCCTATATGATGTCTATGTGTTTCCTATGAGTGTTCCTATACGCTTCTTCTATGTTCCGTGTATGCTTCTTAGATGTTTCCATTCCGTTTCCTATATGTTTCCTAGACGTTTCCTATATGTGTCCTGTACGTTTCTTCTATTGTTCCGTTACGTTTCTTATATGTTTCCTATACGCTTCTTCTATGTTTCTTATATGCTTCTTAGATTTTTCCATTACATTTCTTATATATCTATACGTTTCTTTTATGTTTCCTATACGTTTCTTATATGTTTCCGAAACGTTTCTTCTACGTTCCCTACACGCTTCATATATGTTCCCTATCGGTTCCCCATCTGTTTCCTATATGTTTCCATATGTTTCCTATATGTTTCCTATCTGCTTCCAACACGCTTCCTGTATGTTTCCTATACGTTTCTTATACGTCTCCTATACGTATCTTATGTTTTTCTATTATATTTCCTGTACGTTTCTTACATATTTCCTATACGTGTCTTATATGTTTTGTACACGTTTCCTATCTGGTGTGTATACGTTTCCTATATGTGTTGCGTACGTTTCCTATATGTGTTGTGTACGTTTTCTATATGTTTTGTATACGTGTCCTGTATGTTTCCCATACGTTCCGTATACGTTGTGTATA